GTACCATGCCCTTCATTTCTCTCATCACTACCCAGAAAATCACCACATGACACTCTCAGAAATTTATCCACTACAGAATTTCATTTCTGGTTCTATTTTAGCTTAAGAAGCTGTAATTTGGGGCCGTTTTATTTCCACAAGTTCTCAGAGTACATTTATATAAACATTTTATCATTCAATTCAGTAAACATTTCTATAACTTCAAGTGTCTTTCAGAGATTCAGTTACCGTCAGTATGTAGATAATTTACATTTTTAAACTATGGGCATAAATTTTCTGCTCTTTATTCTAGATCTATGTAATAGTTAATGGACAAAGACAATTTGAAATAAGTATTAACTTTTGACAGCTATAGTTTGGATGTGGCATGTCCCCCGCAGTCCACATATATTGTCAGCCTGTATGAGAGAGGACATCAGGGAAAGCCTATGGGTCGTTGAAGTATGTCTCCGCTGGGATCTGGGGACCCCAAAATGGTTCTTTCTCTGCTTCTTGGTTCATAATGTAAGCAGTTGCTCTGGTTCATTTCAGCCATCATGATTTTTCCTCATCAGAAGTTCCCCAAAAATTACAAATCTTGGATGAAAAACTTCAAATTATGCCTGAAACATGTTTTCTGTTTATAAGTTAATTGCTTCTGGTACTTTGTTGTAATAGCACAAAACTAATATCCTGATATCATAAATTATATTTGATCACTGAGTAGATTCTTCTTTCCACAATCTTCTTTCCTTTAGTAGTTCCTCCACAATGTGGCAGACAAAAGTTATTGTCCCTAAGTTAAAGAAATGACTTAAAAATGATCCCAACAAAATGCTGAAATAAGGATACAGGTTGGCCCATTGTTACAATGAGTTGTACAAGACACTATGTTGAAAAAGAACTTTACAACTTCGGGAGGTGGGGAATGGAGGAGTTGGGGAGTTGGGGAGGGAAGGGATAGTAGGGGAAAAGCAAAGGAGGAGGTAACAATGCCCATTAGCTTACTCATGTAACTGTAAACCCTGTAAACTGTGCAGTACTTTTACAATAAAAACATATATATTTTAAAAAATGATCCCAAACTACTCTCTCATGTTTGACAATTTATATTCATGGAGGAAAAAGCTCAAAATTTGTCTACCTGCATGAAGAGGAGCAGAATGGTATAAAATGAACACAGATTTAAGTGAAATACTTTTGCTTGCTGCCTCCTCAGTATTTAATAACCAGACTTCTTGCATGTAGTTGTTCTTTTTGTGGTTTTGTGGTTCATTCAGATAACATTTTATATTTGCATTATAAAAAATATGTAAAATGCTTCTCAGGGTCAGTCACACTATATTTTCAGTATGTTTTTCAATTCTTTGGAAATTAGAACACTAAGGCTTTAATTTTCAAACCCCTAAATCCACATCTAAAGTTGTGGAATTGATTTCACTTAGCCAGAGTTACCCAAGACTTGAAAGGAGGAAACCAAGGGAAGGAAGGCCATCTCCTGCTTCTGTTGTTTACGATGGGAGAATTTACTATGGTTTGTTTCTATATTTTTGTTTTCAGCAATACTCTCAAGTCCTACTCCTTCGGTTCCATATATTTGAAAGACAGGGTTAAAGCATACATTTTTATCATTTTATTTATGGCCTACACATACCTGTATGCATATATATGCATATCTACACACACACACACAGAGAGAGAGAGAGAGAGAGAGAGAGAGAGAGAATGAGGTAGACAGAGAGAGAATAAATTTTGTTGTTGTCATTTGTGAGAGCACTGTCCCTGAACCTCTTTGTGTTCAAGACTAGAACTTGAGTCACAGCACCACTTCCGATGGTATATTGGATATAAGAGTCTCACGGGAACTTTCCTGCCTTGGTTGGAATCAAATGGCTATTCTCAGATCTCAGCCTCCTGAGTAGCTGGGATTACAGGCGTGAGCCACCATGGCCTGGAAGAATCTAATTGTGATGGTTTACTGTGGCATTGGTATTAGTCTGTTCTCCCAATTAAAGAAGATGTTCCATCACTGGTGACAGTCATTTGTAAAAGCTATTTTCTGACCTAGACCCTCTTTCTGTAGATATTCAATGAATATGTAGCTTATAACCCCTGTGGTCACTGTATTTGATTCCAGTGCCCTGCATCTTTTATATATGTATTTCTAATTTGGGGAGAAGAAGGGAAATAACAAAATGCTGAAATAAGGATACAGGATGACCCATTGTAATAATGATATGTACAAGACATGTTGAAAATGAACTTTACAACTTTGCAGGGGAGGGGAGGGAGGAGTTGGGAGGTGGGGAAGAGAGGGATGGTAGGGGAAAATTAAAGAAGGGGGTAACAATACACCATAGGAAATGGACTCATTACCTTCCTCATGTAACTATAACCTCTCTGTACAGTATCCTTACAATAAAATATATATATTAAGAACAAAATAACACCTTAGTTGCTTAAAAATCAATAACTGTTTGTTTATAAACACTGATTAAAAATAATAAATAGTTTAATCTCTATATTGACATAAATTTATCTAAATTTTACATCCCATTATTTTTTTTGACACCGTACAGGTACAAAAAAGTGTAATTTTATAATCCAAAAAACTGATAATTCATTTATAAAAGTGTGTTCGTTTTCTGGAAAACAATGAAGGTTGAAGAATTCCACCTTTTTTTTTTTTTTTTTGTTCCGGTTGTGGGGCCTGAATTCTGGGCCTGAGCACTGTCCCTCAGCTCTTCAGCTCAAGGCTAGCGCTCTACCACTTGAGCCATAGCACCATCTCCGGCTTTTTTTTTCTTTTTGCTTATGTGGTGCTGGGGAATCGAACCCAGGGCCTCAGGCATGCAAGGCAAGCGCTTTACCACTGAGCCATCTTCCCAGCCCTCCACCATTTTTTTTGATAGCAAATCAGATTTTATTACCTTGCTTCCTAATGAGCCTATGGAAGCTCAGGGCTCCACCGCTGAAGCTGTGCTCTTTGACCCTCTCCTGCTTTCTTCCTTACCCGCTTCATTAATCACCCTTTGTTCACATCTATTCTGCTGAATATAATTTGTTGAATGTTTAAAAATAAAAACATTTTTACTTCATGTTTCCCACTGGCATATGGAAGTGTAAATAATTATAAAAAGTATGAGCCTTTAAGTTAGAATATTTTACCATGGAACCACTTTCTCTCTATCAAGCATCAAAGCTTCTTTTGATTTATCTAATCCTCCAAACAATAAATGCATATAAAAATACACCAAAACTAGAAAAGTAATAAAAATTCTGAATAAAATGACTGGAAAATCTAAACTATCAGAATGTCATTAATTTCCACTATTATTTAGTACTTAAAATTAAAAATTATAATTCAATTATATCAAAAGAATGTCAATAATGATCATAGATTTTCTGATCCATATGCCACATGCACTAATAACGCTATTGCCATTCAATGCAGTTGTAGTTCTTTGCTCAAGATAATAGATGAATCTTTCTTGTGTAGCTACATAAATTATTTTTGTATATACATTTTAGTCCTATACTATAAAATTTATAGTCAGGAATTAAGGACATACTGAAGACTTTCAAAATGCGTTCAAAGTGTTTGGTAATGTATGTTATATAAAACACTCCATTACTTGTCAAGCTGTTTCTCAAATTATTGCATATACTGTAAAGAAGGATATTTTCTACTTTGATGTATGAATAAAGTACATATTTTAAGTGATTTGGTATAAAATATGCTGTTACTAGTAGAGAATTAATGATATACACCTATTGGCTCATGTAACAATTTTGTTTTATTATTGTTTTATTTATGGATTTTTTGTAAGGTAATTTTTAATCTCAAGGACTGTCATCATGGAAAATTTTGTTAATAAGATGTGGCCTTATTGATGCGACCTTAGCATTAATACAATCATGCAACACATAGAATCACACTCAAAGAGAATAAAAAATTAAATGAGGCAAAGCAACATTTGTTGAGATTTTACTTATTTCTGTAAGGTAATCCTTTTATTGAGTTTGTGAACATACCTATTTTTTGCACTGTACTCAAATACTGTACAAAATTGCGAGAAATGCCACTATTTTACTACTTATGTTTCTACAAAACATCATCATGAAGGTGCATGTATTATTAAAAGTCCACTAATAACTGCTAATGTACATGTCAATCAAAACTATTTTAGGTTGGCCAGAAACATTGAAACTAGGCATGATTCACAACTGTTAACTTCTACTGTTATATTTTAAGGGCATAAAGAATATTTTTAGAATATTAAAAAGAAAAATAAATTGTCCAATACTAATTAGTAATTATATAAAATTGAAAACTGGGGTTTCTAATTGTCATAGTTTGGTGTGTGTGTGTGTGTGTGTGTGTGTGTGTGTGTGTGTGTGTGTGTGTGTGTGTGTGTTATTCCACATTTGTTAGTGATGTTTTAAAGTTGCAGTTTAAAAATGATCAACTCTTACCAAAATCTCTTCAGGTATACAAAGCTGTTGTAAATTTGTGTTAGCGAATTTTAAAGCTGCAATTTACAAAAGCAGATTTACATAAATTCTTATCTGAAAGAGGTGCTGTCAAGACAGAAAAATGTGCCAACTAACTGCCCTTTCCTTTGTAATTAGTGGCTTCAGAGTCCTGATGAGATGAAGCCTTAAGGCAAAATTGCAGTAAACAGGAAAGAAGAGAATTGGATAAGTGTTCATCTGTGGTCTGGGACACCTATGAATTCTCATCTGTTGGAGTTTTTGGCACAGTTTTCTAATCCAATATGATGGCTGCTCCACAGATGCCAAACGGGAAGCCTTTTCTAGTTTCAAGCACCAAAAAAAAGAGAAAGAGAGAGAGAGAGAGAGAGAGAGAGAGAGAGAGAGAGAGGAAAAGAAAGAAAGAAAGAAGGAAAGGAGAAAGAAAGAAAGAAAGAAAAGAAAAGAAAAAGAAAGAAAAAAAAGCTGATAAATTTCAATACAACACATACCGGGAAACAGTAAAGACACATTTATTGTCTTTTCAAAATTTCAAGGTAATTTCCAATGATTGAAATAGGTTTTAGGATTTCAATGATCATTTTCAAATAAATGCAAAAGCTAAAAATGTGATGACCTTGACATTCCAATGGTTATTAAACTGTAAGCATAATTAACATCCTGTGAAGGTGACTCAACGATTTGAACTTGTCATGCTGTAATATGTACATGGTTATAGATAGTATACATAGTCATTAAAAGCTGATTTCAAATCTCTAGGTTTCATCTGCTTTGTATGTATGTCAAGCTTCCAATTATACTAGCAGGGATTTTGAGCCCTCGTGAAAGGAACTGGTGTTGCAGATAAGAGATTCTGCTACTTAGAAGAATTCATCTTGTGAGTGTCAACATTCATCTTCTATCATAATTAAACCACAGTGGAAAGTACTATATTGACGAATAGAATCAAGCGCCTCCATAAAGGGTGATACAAGCTATTCATTTTCAGCTCTATCCAAAGAATAGGAAATAAATTGAGTCTTCGAAAATCCACTTTGTTCTAGATCCTAGGGTAAAAAATTTCAAAAGGCAATGGCTCTTTTGGCATAGGGTGGTTTCTGCCATAGTTCAGTGAGTTAGCAAATGCATGTCTCCATTAAAGGTCTATTGGTAAGCTAGATCACTATATACATACTGTACATCTTGAATCACAAATTAGCAGTTATTAGTTAGACTGTACATAGCAAAACAAATCAAGTTTAATGTTGCTATACATCCCAAAGATAACCCATGCCCAGAATCAAGGACTGACACCTAATACAGGCTCCCTGTTCAAATATGTAGCCCAGTAAACTAAATTAAACGTGCCAAACAAAACTGGGAAAACTATTCTGGACATTCTATCAATTTTGCTAACACTGTTGAAGGTTTTCTTGGCTTCCGCTGGTTTATTGTCTGGCTTCTTGTTGGGTTCCGGTGTAGTCGCACTTTTGGAGATGGTGGAAAGAACAGGATCTTTGGAAAGATTTGGGGCATAATTGGCAACAGCCACCGCATAAGCGTTGTTCTGTATCATGACTGAAGCTTTCTCTTTTTTCTATTGAAAAAGAAAAGAAGTAACAGTGTGGTTTGAGCTGTACGCAACAACAATTTCCAAAGTCCAGTTTCAATTCTGAAGACACAAATCCATTACGAATCAGAACTTTAAGAAAACAAATGAGTCTATTAAATTCTGTCACCATTCTACTATGGAAACCCCTGAATAAGATCAATTATTTGATTTTGCAAGAGAATCTGTTTTGTTATCTGTATGGAAACCCAACAAACTTTAATGCAAGACACAACTTTATTTTTTGGGGGGTGAGGGGTCCGGTCGTGGGGCTGAACTCTGGGCTTGGGCGCTGTCCCTCAGCTATTCACCTCAAGGTTAGCGCTCTACCACTTGAGTGCCACTTCCAGCTTTTTTCTTTTTTCTTATGTGGTGCTGAGGAATCGAACCCAGGGCCTCCTGCATGCAAGGCAAGTGCTCTACCACTGAGCCACCTTCCCAACCACACATTTAACTTTCTTGTTAAGATTTAAGTTAAATGAAAGCTGGGGCTGCTTCTAGTAGCACTTAGCACGATGTTTTCCCAGAAGTAGGTGCAAAATTGATGTATTAATTAAGCCTAAACATATAAATTATATTTAACCATTTCTCTTATATGTCAATTGTGATTTACATAAATGCAAATGAAATCTGGCCAGCAATCTGGGATCTTAAATATCAAGTAGTGTAAGACTACAAACTTAGAGGAAAACCCAGAATAAAATTTCTAGTACCAAAGGTGTTTGAATAAAACAAGACAAAAGAGTTCTTAAAGCTTGAGAGGATTGGAAAACAAGCCTGGGTGATGCATTTTCAATGGTCTTGGTTTTTCCCTTTCATGTTTTTCCCGCTGACACAACAGTCTTTCAGATCTGGCTTGAGTGCTAAGGAAGAATGATTAAGTACCATTTACAACTTTATGAAAGTTATAAAACAGCTCTCCTTTAATTTGGCATGTACCGTTTGTGTATTACAAATGGAGAATATTTTTCATGCATATATCTGCTAATGGAGCCATAGCCAACCCCTTACAGCACCAAAATGGATCAGGCTAGGTAGATATTAAGCAAGAGTGTCAACATGAACAAACCTTAATACAGGTGCACAATGTCCATTTGACCCCATGGAGTAAGTTCAGAAATGTTGGATAAGGATACTTTTGAAACTTCACTATGTCACTTGTCTACTAAGTGGCTAAGCAAAATTACACAAGTTGGGTGTATCTGACTTCCAAATCACTGCATTAAATCATATTGTCTTTCTGTCTATGCCAGTGTTTGAAATTTGATAGGACCATATTTCCAAAATCACTCTAGATGAGGTTTAGGTCATTAAGTCTGTCATCAAATGTGCCTTAATAACCTGTGGAATATATAACAGATGCTACTTATTTTAACAATATGTAAACAATTTAAAATGACAGGAAATTCTAGATGTAAACAGTTGGAGCCATGAGAAAGATCCTGGTTCAGATCTTTCTCTGTGTCAGCCTCCTGGTGATGCTCACTATAAAGGTATTTATATTTTAAACATATTAATTAATGTATATTTTGACAATGTAGAGAACCAGACCTCCTCCTAGTGGAGTGGAGTGACCACTGAAATGATCACAGTATAGAAAAAGATCACTGGTTCACATCATGTACCAGTAATACATCTGCAAGATGACTACATGAAGACTGGGTAGAAACATTCAAGGAAGATTTTTGTGGGGAGTAAGACATATAAGATAGATTAGAATGGTGGTGTATGATTTGAGCACTTCAAAACAAACGAAATATAAATTGTCAATTTTTTTGTAGTAAAAGTCTATAGATAGAGATTTGTTATTAATTTTTTACCACATATCTCCTGAACCTCACTCCTGATTAGGAGATTGGTACTAAAAAAGTAGAAATGCAAAGTAGTAATGCAAAGTAACATAGTACTACAAAATAATAATAAAAACATGAAATACATTGTTCATCAAAGTAGTTAAACTATCAGAGGTGATACTTTGGCCAATCACAATGGAAGTATATGATAAATAACCAGGTCTCTAGCAGCCAGCAGGAATCGACCAAATGTCAGCAATACGTAAGTTAATACTTTTGTTGTGGTTGGTATTGTTTCATCCCAACTCTGACACTTCTACAAGAAGCAGTGTTAAAATCATTTCCAATATGTGTTTATAACTTTTATTAATTTATCTATGAAAAAAGTGAAGTCAATCTTATTTTTCTTTATTATTCAAAATGCAATTTCAACAGCTAAGCTTCAAGGAAGGCTGAACATGAAACCAAATGAGGGGTTTAGCTTCAAAACTATAAACTATTCATTTGGAACTTGTAAACTTTACCATATTCAGGACAAGTAGCCAGAAACCTGTAACCGCCATATGCTCCATCTTCAGTCAAGAATGTATTCCTGGCATGCATACTTTCTTACCGTTTCACTGAATGAAGGCCAAAGTGACTACATGGTACCGTATCATCTCCTTGCCACAATACAGCAGAGCTCTTCTGGCTCAGAATCTTGATAAGGTTTTATTATGGATGACAATGTAAATCTCCCCCCCCCACCAATACACTTGAAAAGAATAACCATGAATCTACAGTAAAGCCAATTTCTTCTTCTTTGTTTAAAATTGAATGTACACAGAGAAAAATACTACTGACTTACAATGCTAGTATTTTTTACAGCACAATATATAGATGAAAATCCTCACAATATATTTCATTGTCATTCTTTATAAGGATATATTTTCTATTGACAAAAGTACTCTCATATTCTAAACCACTGCCATGAGTCATGACTTTGTCCTATTCATTATCACTGTCTATTTTAGAAGATCTACTGAGAATAGGATTTTGTTATAAAGAGCTCCTTGAATTTTATGTGTGCTATCAATGCAGGTCAAGTAAGTGGGCATCATATGTATTTTAATTTTAAATACCCATCCCCAATTCTACTACTGTGCTAAATATTGCACACAGTGGTCACTTCCATGAATCCGTTTTTAATATGCCCTCGTACATTTTTTGAGAAATAGAAAAGATTAGATCTCGTTAAATCATGTCCTGCAGTCAAATTTAATCTAATTTCATGTTGTTGTTGTTGGCTGTTTTATAGCATTTAAATAAATCACTTCTTAACTTCCTATCACTTGGCCAGTTGTAGCAGAAAAATACATAAGGCAGACTCTGCTTTGAAGTAAAAAATTAAATACCATCAAAATTTTAGATAGGTTTAATTAGAAAAAAGATGGAAGAAATGAAAGCAAACCATATGAGCTAATTTTAATTCATTTAAAATAATTTATGATACTAGTATCATAAATGGAGAGCTAACAAAATACATCTTCAGAAAACCACATTGTTTCCATGTACTTCACCACATAAATGTTCCTCAGGTAATAATTTAATAATCATATAATAACATATTTAGAGATAAACTCAAAATCTTCCTTGCTTCCTGCTTTAAATTAGTTCACCTATCTGAATTCCTAAACTCCCTAACAATGCAGATAGGAACTAATAAATAAAACTCATATTGGTCTTTAATCAGATATGTATTTTCCTTCTTACCATTGCCAAGCTAACACTCTGTTGTGAATCACACCTCCTGGACTATCCCCTCCTATTTGTATCAGGTAGCCAGCCCATACCCCTCTACAGCACTCTGGAACTTGCCTCTGTATTAGCACATGCATGTATTATTTTTAATTTTAATTTTCCCCTTTCACTTAACCATAAGGTTCTTGAAGACACAAATTGTGTCCTGTGGGGCTCCTGGCACATTTCCTGGCACAATGCAGATTCAACAAACACATGCAAAATGATGGAATGATTACTATGGTAGAAGATGAATGAATAAAACATAGTATAATGACAAACGTAAAATAATATGTTTTGTAGAACAGAATTAATGTTTTGTTGTAAGGATAAAGACAGAAACCAATAGCATATTGTCCAATTCTATTATGTTATTAGGTCAAAAAGTCTTGAATTCTATTAGCAGGCAATGTGGAAAACTTGGAACAATCTCAGCTAAGAAGACAATGCTGTGGAACTTGTGATTGGGACAGATACAAAAAATGGGATTTATAAACAAAATCAATAAATAATGTATTTTATACATTATTGAGAGAAGATTTAACAAGGGTGTTATACAATTGGTTGACTATTTAGTTGACAACCCAGTAGAATGAAGAGGGAATACAATCTACTGTCATGTAGTTTTACTCTTCAAATGTGATTTTATAATATTCAGAATATTTTGGATCTCATATATATTCATATATATATAATTTGTTAATTTGTTAATATAGGTTGAAATTTTAAGTCTGTACAACTCAGAGCGTTAACAGTTAGCATGTTTTACACAATGGCAGCGTGCAAATTGTGTGACTTCCTATGGGTGGAAAAGAAAGCCATGTGCTAGCAATTTGAACCAATGTCTTAACATGTTAGATAAATAAAAGTACCAATCATATGGTTTTACAGTTGAAGAGAATATTATAGATTATTCCTTATGATAAGGAAATTTGGTTTTCATAGAAAATACTGAGTATTTCAGGCTTTTGAGAAGACTCCAGTCTCCAAAGTCAAATGTATGCTCTTTCTATCATACCATGTTGGCTTTGCTATGGTGGTTATGGCTTCTTAAAAAAGTCTGTCACTTGTAAAATTACATGCTCCTTGGCCAGAGAATACTACTGTTAACTGTCTGCTAACCATCCTAAGAAAAGTGATACTTACAGAAGATTGTTTGGAGGTTAAACAGTCCATCCACTTCTCTAAGTACTCTAAAGTTTTTCCTTGGATTAAACTGGGCCATGAGAAAGCTACACACTTGGACCACATTAGCTTAGCTCCTTGAAGAATTGCTTTCACTGAGTTGTATGTTAATAGTAAGCCTTCAGCTTTTATTGAAGGGGACTACAAGAAACATCAATATGAAATTCGTTACTGCATTTATTGGGACAAATTTGACATCAGCTGTAACTGCACCCAAATTTCCTTATTATTCCCACAAGATATTTCTAAAGCAATTTCAGTATAAGAAAAAAGAAAACTTTTCTCTGAAATAAAATTAATTTCCCCACCCCCATAGAATTTGAGGCTAGAAGATAACAGCAAGAGAGGGCAGTTAACAGACTGGCCCAATGGTGGACATATATCTGATCGGTTTTCTTTTGATCTGATTTCCTGTTTCTATTTCATTTAATTATGATAAAATGCATGCATTCTTTGGCAAACTGCCTGAAATTCTTTTGGAACAAGATAGAGTGTTAAAATGAAAATAGATGAATAAATGCACTTGAGGACGTGAAGTTTTCTATGAATTAAATTAAATGATTCATTAAACAATGGCCCATTCTCTGTTTAGATATTATATTGCTGTGACTATGTGGTAAGAACTTTGTTGCCCATTATATTCCGTGCTTTCCCTAGTCAACTTGGACTTATCTTTCAGGATTAGTAGTGAGAACAATTTCATGGAATTAAAGTTAATAAAATTTAAAGTGCAACTGAAATAAGTTATGTGCCAGCTGTTGTGCTAGGTCATGTCCTGTGTAATTACGAGTAAGATAAAACTATTATTTTCTCATATCTTGTATTCCAATGGCAGAAAAATATTTATTTGCAATAAATTATAATTTAATGACGTGTTATAAACTTAATTTGTGCCAAGTGCTTTAGAAACACAACGGGGGGAACCACTATGTTGGTCTGCAACATTCTGAATTTAGGTAGAAATAAGACAGATCTTAAAGAAAATGCAGTAATTTTTCAGTTAAGGAGGGAAAAGGAGGATATTATTCCAAGAGGAATCAACAGTAACTGACTTCAAGAAGACACAAAGAGTCATCAAGTTTGGGGGAATGGCTGTGGCCTATAGTTATTAGAGGAAGAAGAAGAGCATGGATTTTAAGAGTTTTCACTCTTGGGTCTATCACTTATTAAATGTAGAATTCTGGCTAACTAATGTAGAATGATGGCTAACTAGAATGGTCAAGGGAAAGATACACAAATACATTTTAACCTTTACTTGTTTCACCATTTTTTTTCACAAATAAAATTCTTCTAAAAGGAAGAAATTGCAATGTTACAACTATCTAAAAATGGCTAGGATTTATGAGCCTAGAAGTTAAAGGAAAAGTGCAAATTGTTAATATTGATTTTGTCCCTGGACAATAAAAGAAGAGAATGGGCTATCCCTATGGGTTTGATAACACATTCATATATACATATTCACTAAATACCTAATAAGAGTAAATAACTGTTCACAGGAATGAATTAGCAAGAATGATCTGACTGGGAAAGTAACTGCATTTGTTTCAGAGATGGTGAAGGGAAGATAGTGTCAGAGAGACAGATTGACAGACAGGTAGATATAGACAGATGGATAGATATATATTAATAGAGAGATATCTGACTATATGTATATATATTTATATTTGTATGAGTCCATATGCATATTTGTAAACATGCATATAAAGATGATAGATACATACATAGATACATAGAGGTTTCTTTTGCATTTATGATAAATTAAAGGCATTCTACTCCCTTTCTTCAGTTCTAAGGAATTGTTTATTTCTAAAGTAAGTTTTGGAAATCCTTCACAATATTAAGCATCTTTTTAGGCTGAAAGAAAAAAAGACAGTTAAAAAGGAAATGGTAGATCTGAAGAAATAAGAGGTAATAATAATAATAACTGATATGACAAGTTTGAAAAAGCAACAGAAGAAAAAGAATCAGGAGTTGGAGTGGAAGAATTAGTATTGGGCTAGAGGAGGAACACTGGAAAGGAAAGAAGGTTCTAACTTTAGGCTTGTATGAACAGATAATTTTGTATATGGAAACTGATTTGGATAATTAAGATTTTGTTGCCCAACTTCACAGTTCAGGCTAAAAATCCTTACCAATATCCCCGGATTCAAAAACAGCATGAATGCAAATGAATAGTGTTATTCATTTACTTAAAAAGAATGTTAAATATTATCTAAGTATAATATGCTCATAAATGGTAGATTATCCAATCCACTTATAACTTTGTTAAGAAAAAATCATATTTTCATTGTTTATATGTATCTGTAGTTATTCTTAAGAGGTAAATTAATATTTGCTATTTTACAAAATGTATTGAGAACCAGTATGTGCTATTTACATTGAAAGACGCTCTAAGTACATATATACACGTTCACTAATCTCAAAAAACATAGGTCTTCTCTGGATAGGTTAGTCTTAAATAACACCAATTATCCTGTGAACAAGAACTCTCTGAAGAAAGTTATTATCTTCTACTTAAAATCAAATCCCACAAGAATTACTGTAGAGGAGAACTACAATTAAATGTTGCTTTTAGCAATTAGGCTATATTTTGGTACTCTACTTGCTTTTATTCTAGTCCTGAGGAGCTGTTGATTTCTGAAGTAAATTCAAGAAAAAGTTTTCAAAATTTATTTGTGTAATGAAATTAAATGGAGTACCCAAAGATAAACTTATTATGTAAAATTCCTTTTGATGAAAACAAAGGAGTCCTCTCATTTTTAACAAATTCTCAGATTTAAGATATAAATAACTCCATTTTTCAATGTTTTTGACATATGTACTGTCAGGCTCAGTGCAAGTATCTTTAGCTATGGAAAGCTTAATAATTACAAGCCATATACTCAAGTTGTGTTTATTTTTTTCCCCTTAACAACACTACAGAAGTAAACTAACACATACAATGTTATTTTTCTGAAATTATGCAGGTCTATGAGTAACAACAACATATATAACTATGTGTGATTTCACATATGTGCAGATAATTCAGTATTTGCTTGCAGAATGGATTATTAATGATTTGGTTTTTTAAAATTTATAGGTACTTCCACTTTAAAGTTTAAGTGAGACATATCTGATAAGTCAAATGTTGTTGTCAATTTGATTGAAAAATAGCATTGAAATCAATAATGTTTTATATCACCATATAACAAAATAAAATAATTTTTGTGGCATAATCATAATGTTGTAGGACTTGAACTCTGGGCCTGGGCACTGTCCCTCAGCTCTTCATCTCAAGGCTAACACTCTATCTCTTGAGCCTCAGTGCCACTTCGGGTTTTCTGGTGTTTAATTGAAGAGAAGAGTCTCTCACAGACCTTCCTGCCCCGCCTGTCTTTGAACCGAGATCCTCAGATCTCAGCTTCCTGAGTAGCTAGGATTAGAGGCGAGAGCCACCGGTGCCCGTCAAGTCACCAATATTTTATTTTAAGTAATACTAATAGGAAGACCCATGAGTAACCAGTAGAGCTAAAAAGAAATAACAGCAAATATAAAATGAAAAGCAGTACACTTTGTGGAAATGCAATAAAAATTAATAATAACCATAATGGAAATGTTGAAATAGCTCTGAAGTTAAACATGGAAATTGATCAAACTCCTTTTAATATTTAATCATTTTCTCTACTAGTAGAAAACTACAGCTTATAAAACCAAATATACCTGCGCATTTATTAAAACTTCCATAGCTTACAAAAATAAAGAGACTTGAAAACAATAAATATCTTTTGTAAACATATTAATGTAATATGATCATAGAAATGAAAACATATACTGAAACAATTTCAAAAACCCAATCTACAAATGTTATTCCAAATTTTGTAATAAAGCATTGAAGTAAATATACTATTGAAAGTAATTATCCAAGTAGAAGTTTCTACTACTATATAATTATATATAGTTATGTCTCATTATGAAATATCCAAAGACTTCTCCAAAAGAAGATAGTAATTTATAAAGACTGGAAACCACTGTTAGTAGTTGTAGTACTTTGTACACAAAACTGTACACTACTAGTCTTAAAACAAATCAGGTTTCAAAGCAAATAGCATTCCCCATTTAGATTATAAAAGTAATTAAAAATTCCTAGGAATTCACCATCTACATATTCCATTTACAACCAAGTAATACAGAGAGTGATAGGTGCTAAATACTCAGTGCATGGGTAATAACCTGGAATTCTCTTAGAGAATTCTTTCTGCAAGCACTGTTGTAATGTATTGTGTTAATTTCAGCCACATGAAATTAATAGTGAAATAGAAAGATAGGGTTAAGTGCACTTACTAATCAGTCATGAGCTTGGGCAAGAAAATAGCATTACTATAACTTGAGTATTTTTCCACTGGTATAAAAGATAATTAAGAAGACACTCTAGTTATAATAGCTATAAAGCTTATGTGAGAGAACATACATAAAACTTAGCACAGTGCCTGACACAAAGAGATCACCAGATGCTCAGAAGTGAGTTTAGCAGGAATCACTACTCTAAGTACTCCTATAGAATTTCAGGCAAGCACACACTTTAAAGACATGACGTAAAGGCATGCATGTGTGAACTTTCTTAATGTCAGTCCTTAAGAACATGTTTCATGAAAGCTGAATGTGTTGGCTCTTTGTTAAGATGAGAAGGGAATTCTCACTCACCTTGTCATTTACTACGCTCTTTCCATCCCAAGCCCATCCTCTTTTGGTGAAGTAATTAACAGTGGCAAATTCTATCAGCGCAGAGAAAACAAATGCATAGCAGACTGCAATGAACCAGTCCATGGCTGTGGCATAAGCCACTTTGGGGAGAGAATTCCGAGCACTGATGCTTAGTGTTGTCATTGTTAGAACAGTAGTGACTCCTGGAAAAGGACAAGGGGGCCAAAGTCATTATTAGGTATTTGACAGGCCAGTAACAGAGACAGGTTTTGGTTCTTCTCCTTGCCTTGGCCCTGCCCTGCCTTGCCCTGCTCTGCCCAGCCCTTGCTTCCATTTTTATCTTCTCTCTTAAGGATCATTTCTCTCCACTGGGAGAAGGGAGAAAATGGAAAACAGTACAAATTAATGGTCTTACGTGGCTATTGTGTTTTATAAAGTGATAACTCGGAACGAACCTCTGCAGGTGCCTTTATTTTTCATTTTTGTTCTGCATGAATCACTTTTTTCTCTTTTTAAATCGTGTTGAGGTGAAAGAGACTAGTGATGCTGAAGTAGAATTGACCTATTGTTCATTCACATCACTTTTTATAAATCATCTGAATCACGCTAAGCAGTAGACGAACCACCCACACCAGAGATAACAATGGAACTGTGATTAAGATGTTCTCCATTCAAATACCGCTGTATACAGTTAAAATTAACACTGGGTTACTCAGCATTGGGAGGAAAGAATCTTTCAGAGTTCCACTTAGACTATGTAGAAAACAAAACAGGACATTAAAATCAAACCTTGTAAAAAGTAAATCTCCATTGATGAAGAATATCTCATGCCTTTTCTGGTTTCAAAAGTAACTTAATTGCTTTCCTTTTTTCTGCCAGTACTCGGAATTGATAATTGTTCAGAAAAAAATCTAAAGCAATAACTCAGGAGGTATATTGTACAATTAGCACTCAAAATGGCTACATTATTTACTTAATACTTTCTTCAACAAGAAGAAAGTGAAAATGCTGAGGAAATGTTCATCTATACTTTGAAGACATTTTCTGTTTTATTTTTTGCATTGCATTCTTTTACGATAAAACAACTTTACTTAATGTAAATCACATAGTTACTAATTCAAAATGACACTAAATCTATTGAATCCTGAGGGAATGCATCTTGGAATATGATGTGTTAAGAAAATCAATTTAGTCCTCCTGCTACTGAGTCATTATTTAAAAGCACATCTACAGAGATATATTGTCCTCCACCTTGCCTACTGCATGATTTTAGACTCCTGAGTTGTTTACTTTTGAGAGTTTTCTGCAGAAGGATAAATAAATGGAAAATCAGAGATACAGATACATACATACACATATGCTTACATAGATGTATTTGCATGAATATAATGGAAGAAAAAATGACAAATTAATGTCAAAATATATATAACCTCATCAGTAGACAGGAAATAAAAGGTAACAAATAGGTGCTTTTTTTTTTTTTTTTTTTTTTTTTTTAGTAAGACACTGAGGGTTCATGCATGCAGTCGCAGCTACTTTGGAAACAGAGATCTGTGGGTCAAGGTTCAAAGTCAGCCCAAGCAGAAAAGTTGTCTCAATTATCCAGCAAAATGCTGATAGTGAAGGTGTGGCTAATTGGTAGATGCTAACCTTGATCAAAAATAGCTCAGGAAGAGCACCCTGAGTTCAAGCCCCTATTACTACCAGGATTTGATGATACAGTTTTAAAATTCTTTCATACTTATGGCAGCACTGTGGCATGCTGGAAAAATTAATTTTCTCAATTGTTTAAGTTGATCTTTATTTTAAAATACATACTACTGCCAAAAATATTAGCAAAACTTTAAAAAGCTGACACCATCTTTGAGGCAGGCTGTGTGGGATTCAAAGAATCTTTTCTGAAGGTTCCACGGTTGCATTGCAACTCTGGAGAGATAATTAATTCAAGACGATAGAAAGTGAGGCTCTTGTTTCCTTCAATTTTATAGTTTTAGTTCTTAAGGTTTAAGTTTGGGGTTCATTTTGAATTTGTTAATTTTAGGATATTAAATTCTAAATTTCAATTCTAAAATAGCTTTCCAAGGTTGCAAAGAGTATAATAAACACTTGTCTAGGCACCAGTTATCCAAGTCTTTGTGGAAACGGAAAAGAATCATTTCCTAACTAAAGGATCAGAAATTCTTTGTTGACAATTAATTGACTTTAATGTGATTTCTTGTTTCTTTTGTATGTCCTTCTCCCTATGCTCTATCCCCTGTTGTCACTGTTTTTGATTTTGGTACCCTTATATTATGTGTGTGTGTGTGTGTGTGTGTGTTTATTTGAATTAGAGAAGGGAAGGGGACAGAATGAAGCAACAGGACAAGGGGAGAACCAATACAAAAGTGATATTCACAAGACACTATGTTGGAAATAATCTGTACAACTTAGGGGGGGAGGGTTAGAGGGAGGGAAAGGAGGACAAAAATGAGGGAAGGGGTAAAAAGTTTGACAAGAAATGTACTTATGTAACTGTAACCCCTTTGTACATCACTTTCACAATAAAAAATTAACTGACTTTAGCTATATGAATTTATTTCTGGAGATTGCATTCAACCCAGTGATCTATTATCTATTTGCGAGCAAGTTGCACATGGTTTCAATGGCTGTAGCTTTAGGTAAAGTTTGGAAATCGAGAAGCTTGCATTCTTTCCTATGCTTGTTCATCATTACTATTCTTTCTCAAAATTGTTCTGATTAATGAGGATCCTTTACATCTCCATAAGACTTTATGATCATCTTGCCCACTGCTGAAAAAAAAAAGGTTATTAATTATTCAGGAGGTGAGATCTGAGGATCTCAGTTCAAGGCCAGCCCAGGCAGGAAAGGCCATGAGACTTTTTTTTATTAATAAGTTTTTTTTTCATTCTGAAAATACTGTACAGTAGGGTTACAATTACATGAACAAGGTAATGAGTGCATTTCTTATCAAGCATTGTTGCCTCCTCCTTTGTTTTCCCTTCCCATCCCTGTCCTCCCATCCCCCACCTCTAAAGTTGTAAAGTTCGTTTTCGACATAACGACTTGTACATCTCATTGTTGCAATGGGTCCACCTGTATCCCTATTTAAACAATTTGTTTTTCCCTTCCCCTCCACAGATTATACCAACATCAACTACAATAAAAGCAGGGTTATACCACGGGGGAGAGACATACAAAGCAACAAAAATGTCACCTTATAAATATGTTAGAAACAATAGCAAGAAAGAAAAACCATTTAAGTCCTTATCTTGATGTTCATTTAGTATAACATCAATTTATCTGACCGTTTCTGCTTGTCTCAGACATTTACTAGTTATTGAAAATAAGGGGAACCATAGTATCTCCAATAAACCATCAGAAAACTGGAAGTGGTGCTGTGGCTCAAATGGTAGAGTGCTTGCCTTGAGCTGAAGAGCTCAGGGAGAGAGCCCAGGCCCAGAGTTCAAGCCCCACTACTGACAAAAAAAAAGGTTATTAATTTTGACAGGCAATATACTGCTCCTTCTGTCTTACACATATTGAACCTTTCCATCTTCAAATATGAGACAATTATCTATCAAAGATAAATAGATTATAGGTAGAGAGAAATGATTTAAGAGATGGAGATAGATGATACAGAGATAGAGCAAACACTCTGAACGTTGATCATGATGCATTGTATTTATAAACTGGTTTGTTGAATGGCAATTCCATTGTAAAACAACTTAAAGATAGTAATAAAAAGAAGAAAAATACTTCCTTAAATTTATGTTCAGATTGTTTATACCTGGTCTACCAAACAAGAACTGAATTTTTGTGTTTATTTTGTCACCAGCAATTTTGCGGAGGAATGAGATGGGGATTGAGTATGCATAATTTTGTGTTCTCTGTAAAGACTTTTGTTGCTTCTCCTCCAGTTTCATGTCCTTCATTGTTCTTCCCAAATTTCCCTGAATAAACTGGAAGCACTATTTTTGATGGTCTTTAAGGGCTTGTCACCTTGAAGGTCTCTTTTTATAGAAGGTGTTATTTTTGTCTAAGATCTTGGGTGTAATTCTTATTTGGGTACAATTCTTACTCTTATTTACCATTTTTATTGTGATTTTCAGATGTTCACATGTTATTTTGAGTATATGCCCTTTTCTAGTTATTAATGTTTTGGATGTGTTGACTCATTTTCAATTTTTTATTAAATTTTAAGACTTGTCCATCATTGTTCTATTTGTTTTTCATTTTCTCTCTTTCCTGTCTTAGTGTGAACACAGTAATATTCATATTGGGATGCCTGAGAATGTATAACAGGTTTCAAAAACCTGACACAATCAGCTGATTTTTCAATTCCTACTTTTAAGGAAACAGTATCTATGCAAGGGAATCCTGAGGGTTAGATGAGGCTAAGTGCAGGATGAAGAGGATCAGACTGTGTGGGCTCAGACTGGCACTGTGGGCTCCATAGCCACATATCTCAGTTCTAAATCTCAGGACCATGGGGAAATTTTCTAGCTACCTTTTAATATTGTTGCCTTGTTTTTACCGTGAGAATAATAAGTCATACTTTCTAGTAGTGATGTTCATTGAGATCAAGAGAGTTTCCGCATATAAAATTTCCTGCATCATAGGGGGGAAAAATCTTCAAAGCATGGGAAAAAAGAATAGCATGCTGAAAGCAAAGCCACATTGCAACAAGAAACAAAATAAAATAAATACCCTCCCCCATTAAACACTTGCTTGTGGGTATGTGATGGAATGCAGAGTAGAAGTTAAGAAATACAAGTCAAACATTGCAATTGAACAAATGCAGCACTGTTTGACACCACCTGCTGGTTACAGGTAGGAATGGCAAAGCCAAGATTCTGATATATATATATATATATATTTTTTTTTTTTCTCAACCTAAGGGGGGCAAAAGCAATGCTGAACTCTTTCTAAAAGAAAAACTTTTAATTTGCAAATACTGTGTAAGTGCAACATGGATGATTGCAGTTTTAACTCAGAACTCTCTGACACATAAATGATAAAAATCATTGAACTTCCGAATAATAAAAATAATTTGGAAAACATAGCTGTGCAAAGTACCTGGCTAATTAGTATGCTGATTTAATGGTGTGAAAACATGGAAATACAATCTGAAAGAAAATGTTTAAAAAGCTATTTATAGTATGTCTTATAGTATTGTTGTAGAAATGATAATTTGCTCTTTCAC